GGAAAATATTCACTGCTAGCACTTACCCTTGTTTGAACGCTCTTCTTTCCTCCAACCATTTCAAGAACCACCATTCCATAGCTGTAGATGTCTGATTTGAGTGAAACAGCCCCAAAGTTTCGGAAAAAGACTTCTGGAGCTATATACCCAGGTGTCCCTCTGGGCCCAATCGTTGACACAACACTATCCTTTCTAGAGCATAGTTTGGACAGCCCAAAATCAGAGATCTTTGGGCAAAATTCTTTATCAAGAAGAATGTTTTGAGGTTTTATGTCCAAATGCAAAATTCTTGTGTTACATCCATGGTGCAAGTACTCGAGCCCTCGGGCTATTCCAATTGCAATACTATATAGCTTTTCCCATCCCAAATTTTGATTGTCCTCCGAAGTGCTTTCCTTGAAGATGAACTTTTCTAAAGACCCATTTGGCATGAACTCATAGATCAAAGCTCTCTTTTCACCCTCCAAACAAAATCCTAGAAGTGTAACAACATTGACATGAGAAGTTCTACCAATGCTTGCAACTTCGTTAATAAATTCTTCTCCATTCCCCTTGGATACATTAAGGACCTTCACAGCTATAGGGCGACCATCTGGTAGATTTCCTTTGTACACATCTCCATAACCACCACGGCCTAGTTTTTCTTTATATGAATTGGTCATTCTCTTGACATTCGAAAAATAGTATCTTTTAGGAGTTAGAGTTCCATAATTTTTGATGAAAACCTCAATTTCTTGGTCACTCTTTGTTACCTTCTTGTAAATCCTCTTGAAAACAACTCTAATGATAAAAGCTAGCAGTACTCCAATGCCTGTTGTAGCAATAGCTACTTAAAAAGCACATGATTATCAAACGTCAATTGAAGTGTATATACTCTTCTCTAGACTCCAACTATATGTAGCAATACTATTCTTTTAGACTATGATTATAATTAACATAACTTTACCAATATCCACATTCAAAGACCATTATAGCATTACTAGATTCATCTACTGCTAAGGTTTAGTAAGTTTAATTGCATAACAATGCTTGGATTATACTATGGCTATGAGAAATAGGCAAACAATTTGAAGCAAATCATGCATCATAAGAGTATTGATCATGTATGCATACCTATAATCAGAATTCTGGTTTTGAGAGCATAAGTCCTTCCTGCAATAACATAATTTTCTTTCATCAGATAAATTGTTTCAACAAATCCATTCAACTACAATCCAGGATATGGAGAATGTTTTCAATTTCTTTCTCTTTTTGCTTACATCACATAAATTGTGCTGATATATATATGTATAACATATAAATTAATTTTATTTCAAATCACTCTCTGTATTTTGAATCTTAATAGACTGATATTGAGCTCGAATGATTTTTTAAATGTCTAGACTTGAGGTCAGTTTTTAACTTTCCTTGAAGCCCATCAATACAACAACAAAGCCAACTAAGTTACTTAGTGGAACATTTCAAAACGGTATTACCACATATAAGCGGGAAAACTAGAGAGTTTGCAAATGAACATACTGATAGTTTTGCTAACTAGGCCTTAGCAGACTAGGAACAAAGGATAAATCTTTCTTTCAGGAGGAATTGTCAATTTATGAAGCATCATCCCTCTTGAGAAAGAAATACCTAACTTGAACCAAAAAAGGATCAAAGTTGTTAATACCATAAGTACCAACCGTGTATTGGGACAATATTTTTTTTATCAATTTCATTCTGCATTTACTACTATAAATAAATATAAACTAAGGCGCATTATTTTTAAGCTTCATCTTATTTCCAAGTTCTGAATTAGAAGCTTAATGCACTTTTTGAAAAAAACTAACTCTCTTCAACCTCAAGTTCCTCAACCTTCCCTCTTCGACCTACTCCATCCTCAACTCCAGAAATAAAATCTTTGATTTCTTCTTCTTCATAGGAGCAGTGAAAGTGAATGGATTAATGTATTCAATAGGATTATGATTTTCAAGGAAATTGAGAAAGAGTTACAAGCTTGCTATGTTTTTTTCTAAATTATATGATCTATCA